CGGGTGGGTCAGGAGAGGTCTGCCACACCATGTGGTCACCTCCGGGGCAGGCGGGAATCGAACTCATGCGGAAGCGGCCTTAGATTCTCAGTGCTGTGCTTTAACCCGCTGTGCCACCAGGGAGGGCCCAGCTACCTGTTTTTAGTTATTTTTAAACTGGACACCTTTCAATACTTTGTATATAAATCAGTTGTTGGTTGTATATGTGGACATTTTTTTTTTCCCAACCACTAGGCTCATTTTTTAAATCCACTATTTTCTTTTGCTGTATAAGGTAGTCATTTAAGGTTGGCCTTAAAGTTAATTTTTACTTTACACTTTGTTGTATATTTTCATTTAAGGTACTCTTGAAATTGATTTTCCTCTTGCCTTTAGAGTTGTCTCCAAAGACTCTCTGTGCAGACATCACAATATATGTCAACATTGCTTTCTTCTATGTATTTTGTTGTTGCAGATCTTAGAATCAGTAATTCATTCTAAATTTAATTTTGTACATTGGGTTAGAGAATGATCCAACTTCATTCTGTTATCTGAGGTCATCCAGTTTTCCAAGCACTGGTTGTTAATGAGGACCTATACCATTTGTAATAATTTAGGTATAGATTTATTAATCTATTTCTTTTTGGAATGTTGATCCTGTTCCATTGACCCATGTATCTATTTTATCCTAATCCCAAATTATGTGTATTACTACAGTTTCATAATATGGTGTAATGACAATAACATGGTAACTCCATTTTCCTTTTTTTTTATTTCAGTATATCTTGAATTATACAGGGTCTTTTATGGTTCCATATAATGTTAATATATTTATTTTTCTGTTTACTTGAAGAATGTCATTGGGATTTTAATGTGGGATTGTACTGAATCTATAAATGGCTCTTGGTACAATAATCACTTTACTATACTCTCTCCATTCATGAACATGGAACATCTCTATGTATTGTCCTATATCTATTAATATTGTATTGTATATTCATTGTATAAACCCTTCATTTTAAGTTTAATTCTTAGATATTTAATTATTATTGATTAAATTTTAAATGGAGTTACTTTAATTTCTTTTTCTAGCTCATTATATATAAAAATGAAAAAAAAAAGATGTTGATAAATGGATTTTGTTACCTGATACTTTACTGTATTTATTTACTATTTTATAACAGAGTTACATATTTTTGGTAACTTTTAGGGTTTTCTATGTACCATATGGTATCATTTGCAAATAATGACTCTTGATTCTCCTTTTGAAGTCTGGATTCCTTTTTTAATTCTGAGTGATTTAGCTAAAACCTATAATACTAAATGAAACAGAAGTGGTGACAATGGCATCCTTTCCTTTTTCTTTATATTAAAAAGAAAATTTTCAGTTTCATTTTCAGTCATATTGGCTGTGGATATGTGATATATGCCTTTTATTATGGGGGTAGATACTTTCTATTCTTACATTTTTAAGGAATTTCATTATAAATGGGGATGCTGACTTATCAATGTTTTTTTTTGAATATTATTATATATAATCATCTTTATTTTGTAGGCTGATATAATATATTATGCAGATTGATTTACATATGTGAAAGGATCATTACACCCATGGGGTAAATTCTACTTGGTCATGATGTATGACTTTTCTAATGTATTGTTTGAATTTAATTGGGTAATAATTTATTAATTATTTTTGTATCAATATTTACTTAGATGGTATTTTATAATTTTCATATTTGCATGTATCTTTTCTAGCTTTGATTTTAGATGCTTTTAACTATGAATCAATTAATAACAATGCATTGATATTGACTTACCAGTAGTATCATAGGTTCTACTAATATCAGCTGTTGCTAACAGGACTAGAGGAGGAAATTATGGGAAAATAACATTGTTTCCAATATTTTTGTAAATATTAAACAGTTCTAAAAATGTATTTTAATTTAAAACAAACAAAATGTATGTCAGCCAAATTAAAGCAGTGCAACACTCAGACTTTAAACAATTATCTTTCTATATATCAGTCACTCAGAGACATCTCGGGGTCTCTTTTCTTTTTGTCCTAGTGTAATTTTAACAGATTTTCCATTTATAATGTTAGAAAAGGTACATTCAAGGAAAAAAGCAAATTATTTTCATAACAATTTTATTCTAACAGAGAGAAGTGATATTTGAGGCCCTTCCAGTATTGTGTGGCTTTTTTTTTTTTTTTTCATTAGTTATGTTCTAATTGCCACCCTCTGCCCTGATAATGTTACCACCTGGTTGCCCTTTAGTCTCCCTTAGAAATGCCCCAGCCATCCCAGGATATCAGATAGAGAAATAACAATGTTCTAGCCAAATCTTTCAAAGGACACCACAGGAATATGACTGAGTTCCTCCCATTGCCATTTATGTTGTCAAAACTTTTAAATATCAAGCATGACTAGAAAATTCTCAAAACAGAATAATTAATGGAAATTAAGAATCTTTGTATAAAGGTAGAAATAAAAAAACATCTATATGTTAAAACATGTGTTATTTTAAGAACTTTTAATCTTTAAAATTATAAAATAGTTTGCAGTTTTCAAAGTGAGCATAGAATAATGAGCTGTAGAGGAAAGTTTAAATCACATTCCACATGTCCTTTTTCTGAAATTAGAACCATTCTTTGGAAATATGTTTATCTATGTTGTTTTCTTTCTTTTTTACAAAAAATATGTATTTTTTTTCATAAAGTGCTGGCTGTAGGCCAGAGATGCCCAAGAATGGGGCGGGGGTTAGAGGTGGGGAGGTGAGAGGATTCATCAGAGACAGAGTAGTGAGCAGAACAGAGGGAGCTATTGAAATAAATACTGAGGGAACTATCAAGTAAAACAGGCTTGGGATTGAATGCAGGCCACAGAGTGATAGCGCTGACACTATAACAGCTAAGCCATCAGGAAGCCTCTTTTAGTTTATTTTTTTTGATATGAGTTATTCACTTCTCAGCGCATCTCTTTTCTGTGCTCATGTTAAATCCCACTTTAACTGCATATAAAGTTTAGAATTGCTCATTTATGGCTTATCCAGTACTCTGAGGATAACAACTGTATTTTAGCAATTATTGAATAAAATCACCTAGTCTATACATTTTAATGAATACATATTTATCTAAAAATGTAAATCTAGGTACATATAAACAGTCAATGGTCAGGAACGTTTACAATGATATTGAATAAATAGAAAGGCTTCATTAAGAAAAAAATACAACAGAATATAAAGAAACAAGCTTCTTATTTTTTTTTTCTTTCAGAACAAAGAATTGTTAAATTGCAAGTTCAGACAGTCACAGAGTTCAAAACTGTTACTAATGTTGTTGGATATTTAAAGGGCTTGACATCTCCAGGTAAGTATGATTAAGTTTTTACAGTCTATATTATATATAAACATCATGAAGAAATAATCAATAATAATTTTAACAACAGATAAATATTCTATTTTAAATATTCTACTTTAGATGTAACCAGAAATTTATGCCACTCTCAAAGTCAGTCAGTATGAAACTAAGAAGCAGGTCTTCTATTGCTTACTATAACTCTTCAAAATAAATCATATTAGATAGTATAATATAAAACAGAGAAATCAGTTTAGGTTTGTTGGACTGGCTTATGCCTATGTGGAAAAACTTAAAAGAACAGAGTTTTCTTTTATTCATTATAACATCATCCAAATAATTTTTTTTTTTTAAAGATTTTTATTTATTTGTGCATACAGAACTGGGGTACAGGCCAGAGGTCAGGGGAGGCGAGAGGCTTCACCAGAGACAGAGTGGGGAGCAGAACAGGCAGATCGACGAAGTACACTGCTGAGGGGAGCAGTGGGCGGGTCAGGAGAGGTCTGCCTCGCCATGTGGTCACCTCTGGGGCAGGCGGGAATCGAACTCATGCGGAAGCGGCTTTAGCATCTCAATGCTGTGCTTTAACCCGCTGCGCCACCAGGGAGGGCCATCCAAATAATTTTTATCAAAAGACTAAATACACATATTGGATTTTAATGGTGTTTTTGTAAATAAATGTCTCTAGATCTAATTTTTCAATATAGTCCTATGTCTTGTCTCTGACTCTTGTTGTACTAACTAGTCTACCTAATGTTTACATGGCTTGAGTATTTGAAGGGGTGTTTATGACACTGACCATTCATCACTGGGCTAAAATTTAATTTTACTATTTATTCTAGAAAGTTGATGAAATCTTTAGATGATATACAACCCTAAAAATAAAATTAAATAGGGCACTCCCTGGTGGCACAGCGGATTAAAGCACAGCACTGAGAATCTAAAAACCGCTTCCACATGAGTTCGATCCCTGCCTGCCCAGGAGGTGACCATATGGCATGGCAGACCTCTCCTGACCCACCTGCTGCTCCCCTCAGCAGTGTACTTCCTCGATCTGCCTGTTCTGTTCCCCACTCTGTCTCTGGTGAAGCCTGTCACCGCCCCCGAGCCTCTGGCCTGTACCCCAGCTCTGTGTGCACAAATAATAAATAAATCTTAAAAATAAATAAATAATAAATAAATAAATAAATAAATAAATAAAATTAAATAACAAGTTAAAAGTAACCAACAAACATAAGAGACATAGCAACACCTTCAAACACATTGTGAAGCTTCATTACAGATTACTTCCCATTGTATTCACTGAACAATGTGGAATGCAACATTTTTTATTATACTTGTACCTTCCTATTGATGTGGCCGGTACATTTCCACAAGTTGCTCTTGGAAACATATCTTTTCCATGATTTTTGCCTAATTGACACCATAAATGCTAACTTAAAGAGCCATGAAGTTTTATAACCCTGAGTCTGTTGCTAGCCAACTCTTGCAAAATTAAAGGCATATATCTCTCTGAATTCCTTACTGTAGCAATGTTGAACGATCTCTAATCATAGTTTCTTAAAATATAAAATGTAAATTAATTTTAAAGTGGTCATTGATACATTGCAACCATTTCAACAAATCCAAATCATGAGGATATCAAAATAAAGCATTGAAAACATTTTTCAGCATTGCTACACTTAGAAATGATTATTGAACAAAAAATCAAATCATACAAAATTATGTTATTCTAAGGGTAATGAAATTTTCTCTATCAAAAATCCAATTTAGAAAATAATCAAACTTTTAAAATCCATTATGCCACTCAATAGTATTTATTAGAGGATTATAAGCAAAGCATCTCAAATTTTACTATTTGAATTCTACACAAAAATATTGGTTGTTCATTCATGTGACTTTCTTATTTAATGACTCCTAAAATCAGAAATAATCATCACTTAGTGTTCTGGTTTTAGATATAGTTTATCTAGAATACAGAGAATCCCAAACTACTTCTACACATATCTAGGAGATGAAGTAATACATTCCCAGAGTTTCAACATTGTACAGCAGAACTCTCCTGTCTGGCCAGCTGTTCCCCTCAGCAGTGCATTTCAGTACATTTGCCTGTTCTGTTTCCCACGCTGTCTCTGGTGAACCCTCTCACCTCTCAAGCTTCTGGCATGTTTTTATATGCATAAATAAAGTACTATTTTATGCTTGAAGAAAGTAAAGAGCGGTTGAATAATCTTCGAGAGTCACACACTAGTAAGTTGAATAGTCTGTATTCAAACCAATCTACATATTTAACTGTCAAGTTATAGGACATCCTCTAAATTATACTCAATAAAAATAACTTATCTTTATACAGATGTATCAGGCTACTTGATCAAGTAAATTTGACTCTATCGCAATAACATTTGATGTCAACAGAATCAGAAGGATCATTGGAGGCTTTTTATTACTGACATTGGTCAGTAATGTACCTAAACAGGCCACACTCATATGTCCTGGGAACCTTTCTAATAAAGTAGCTAATGAGTTCTAACTTACTACATAAAACAAAATATATGAAAGGATATTTTTACTACAGTTGGATGATTTTTAATAATGAGATTTTTCTTCAAAAAAAGAAGAGGGACTCATACTCTAAGTTGGAAGTTGTAATTCTCTAGACATTTCATTCATAGCAAAATCCACAGATGATTCTACATTTTAAATCTTTATAGCTACTAAATAATCTATCAAATATAGTAATAGCTCATTAATATTTACTGAGCATACACTTATTATTTACAAGGCTCTTTCCTCTGTGACTGGAAAAATGTTAGATGAGCATTTCATTGGGGCATATTTGTATACCTCATTAATTAATATGCAACTTGCAAAGGACAGTAATATGTATCTAAGCTTTGGATTCATAATTGGGTTCAGCAGCTGCCTTTGCTTTATATGTACAGATGTGTGAATCAAGGCAGTAGAAGAAAAATGTTAGTCTTAATTATTAGAACAAGTTTGCATAATTATTTCTCATTTGTGCAATAGGATTATGTAAATGTCATTAAATTTATTGTTAGTTTTTTTTTTTTCCTATTTTTGTCTTAATAGCTTTGTTTCCCTCTATTTCTAGATCGGTATATCATAGTTGGCAGCCACCATCCCACTACATTCAGCTATAATGGACAAGAATGGGCCAGCAGCACTGCCATAATCACAGCCTTCATCCAGGCTTTAATGTTAAAGGTTAAGAAAGGGTGGAGACCCGACCGCACTGTTATTTTCTGTTCCTGGGGAGGAACAACTTTTGGCAATATTGGCTCATATGAATGGGGAGAGGTAAAATGACATTATTCTCTGACTAAAGTAGACAAAGTAAAATTGTTGAAACAATTTCCAATGTTTATTACTATATGACTAATGATGTTTATTATTATATCTTATCTGTATAATACAGATTGAAATCAAGATAGCAGTTTCCTTCCTTCCCTCCTAACTTCTTTCCTTCCTTTCTTCCACCTACCCTCCCTCTACGTCTGCTTTCTTCAAGTAATGTACAATATCTTCTATTTCCTTTTTCCCTACATGCCTACCTACATGCCTATCTACTTATCCTAGAATGTTTTTGTCCTAAGATATTTAAGATGCAATAGGAAATTTAGTAATAGGCTAAAGCACAACGGAAATATTTTAGTTTCAAGAGTTTCTGATGTGCTATATTTTTAAAAACTGTGAAGTTATAAATGAAACAATGCCTTATTAACATGAAAGCATCAAAAATTCTTAGACATCCTATTTTATGAGTTTTTTTAAATTAAAACATATTTATTTGAAGGCAAGCCCATTACTTATTGACTTAAATAACATTTCAAAACAACAGATGTATTTACCAAAAATAAAGCCATTATACTTTTTGTAATTGCTTTATTATTTTACTGTCATGACAGTTGGACTTTCATATCTGCTTCAGCATTCTATTTGTTGCACTACATTGCTTCAGTTCAATTCTATGAAGAAAGTAGGGCCTCCCACAGCTGTATAATAGAAAAGGGAAATATTTTAAGGCCTTTCCAGATAATTCTGCATATTCTTCTTTATAATTTATACAATACTAAATGTGGAACCTGATATTATGTCAAGTTTTTCATACTGTTAAAATTCAAATCCACTGGTTTACATGGCACTTTATTTTATTTCCTTATGGTTTACACTATTTTGTATGATTATTTTAAAAAGAAACTCAATGGCTATAAAGTAAGAGGATTGATACCTGCACATTTTTTCTAGGAAAGTGAAAACATTTGATAGTCTAGTATATTCATTACTTCAGCTTTGAAGAAAAAGTTCTATATCTCTAATGAGAATAAATTTATGATTCTTGTTTTAGATGAACAAAAGCAACTGTCACCAAAAAAATATCTAAAAGGTGTATGCATGTGTGCATGCACACACACACACACACACACAGCCTGCAGTGTCTTTTTGATTTGAAGGGAAGAAATCTTAAAATTGAAAAAAAATAATTACACTGTAAAATTTGTCAAGATTCACACATTGTAAATTGGAATGCTTTACCATATGCAAATTAGTGGTGTGAATGTTTGCTCCATATTCAAAAGAACTAATTCAAAGAAACTCATTGCTGAAAGAGCTTTTTAAACTGACAGTTTTTTAGTAAGATGGAAATTGTACCAATATCTCAAGCTTCTACTCCAAATTGCTTACTTTTTAAAGATGAAAAACAATTTGAGAACATATTTGTGCTTTGGGTTGATTTTTAGCCATTCAGACTTTTTTGTCATAGTGAAAAGTTTTATTTATTTTTTTTTTGTATTAATAGGCACATTTTCAGAAAATGTCTTAAAGTTTCTTTTTGAATTCCAAAAATGTATTATGTCACATAGACTTCTAGATATCTATTGTAGTGACTTTCACACACATTTTATGTTCACCCTAAAAAAACATGTATTTCTAAGCTGTTTTCAGTGTGCTTACGTAATGCTGGTCATTCCTCACTTTAGCATCCTGGGGAAGGTATTGTAAATATTCCTGAATTCATTACAAAATTTCCAAGTATCATAAAATATAAGTGGAATAAATAGTATGTATTTGCATGTATATGAATAATTATATTGAATAGCTTCAAGTGAAGTAGATATTTTTGTGGTTAGTAAAATACAAATCCATTTTTTTTTTAAAGATTTATTTATTTGTGCATACAGAATTGGGGTACAGGCCAGAGGCTCAGGGACGGTGAGAGGCCTCACCAGAGACAGAGTGGGGAACAGAACAGGCAGAGCGACGAAGTACACTGCTGAGGGGAGCAGCGGGCGGGTCAGGAGAGGTCTGCCACGCCATGTGGTCTCCTCCGGGGCAGGCGGGAATCGAACTCATGTGAAAGTGGCTTCAGATTCTCAGTGCTGTGCTTTAACCCGCTGCGCCACCAGGGAGGGCCATACAAATCCATTTTTTAACTTTTATTGGATTTGTTGAACATTTTGATTATTTTATGTTTTCTTAATCAAAAGATAGTGAAAGTACAACTAACATAATGTGGGAGTAAATAGGAAAGTGTTTGTTAGAAAATCCTATTATTAAAAACGTCAGAAACATCTACCTCATAATACACACACACACACAGAGTATGCACACACATATGTTTGTATAAGAAAAATATGGCATAAGGATAAATAAATACTAGTTGGTTTTATTTATATGTGGAGTATAAAGAGCACACACATACACACATATATATATACAAGCACACACATATATGTAAGCATACTTGACATCTAATTATACTTTCAATGAAAGTCTATTCATTTTGTTGGCTATTTTTTACTATATTTGGCTATTACTTTTTTACTTTTTTGGCTATTTTCATGACTAGATGGACAGAGATACATGAGTAATGAAAATAATGAATAATACATAGATTTTATTATTAGCTTATAAAAAAACTCAACCATATATTACTATTTCAATGAAGTTTGTGAAGTTTGGTAACTATCTGATTGAGCTGGTATTTGGGAATTACGTTTATTCCTATCACATTTACTCCTGAAATGAAACATTTTCTTTTAAACTTAAACTGATTTGTTTAAATTCATTCCTTAATGAAGAACACTGAGTAGAAAACTTGTTGAAAACATCAATATAAAATAGAAATAACACGGCCCTCCCTGGTGGCACAGCAGGTTAAAGCACTGCACTGAGAAGCTTAAGCCACTTTCATATGAGTTTGATTCCCGCTTGCCCCGGAGGAGTCTACAAGGCGATGCTGACCTCTCCAGACCCACCCGCTGCTCCCCTCAGCAATGTACTTCGTTGATCTGCCTGTTCTGCTCTCCACTCTGTCTCTGGTGAATCCTCTCACCCTCCGCATCTCTGGCCTGTACCCCAGTTCTATATGAATAAAGAAATAAATCTTAAAAAAAATACAAGTAACATTATAAATTTGATAGATATATGTCTTTGTAAATCTTCCATCTGATAGTTCCTAAGAAATTAAGTACTAAAGCTTTTAGAACATTTCTGTAAAAATGACAGTAAGATAACTACTCATTAAATATTTGTAAAAAGAAGGAAAATAACTTAGTGGTATCTTAGTGGTATCTTGTAAAAAATGTAGTGATTTTCAATTTGGGGGACACTAGATCTTAGCAAGGAAATACAAAGACTATTCTCAATCATCATAGCCTGTTAATATATGTGAAATGTATCAGGTCTTATTTTAGAGAGCATACATAACTATTATGTCCCATTTTGCTCAAGAAAAACATTTCATGAAAAAAGTGATTCATTGATTCAAAGCAAATGATTGGTTTCAGTTTACCTATGTCTGCTCTTGAATTCAGTAGCTACAGAATTATATGCTGTCAGTAAAGCTAATATTCAAATTACGTATTTTGAGTTTGAATTTAATACTATGTTAACCATTTAAAAAACATCACTTAAATTTGAACTTTGTCAAGAACTTATCTTAAAATATATTTATATGTATAAGTACTGTTCACTACACTGATTTAAAATAGTTCATGACCTTTTTGATTCTCTGTTAACTAATAGGGATTGCTTTTGAAAATATAATTAGACAAATGTAGTGATTTTAAATAGAAATTGGTTATTATTTAACATGTAACTGAACACGTAGGATCTATTTTTCATTTTGCTGAAGTAAGATTTAATCTTTGTGTTTTAGGATTTCAAGAAAGTCCTGCAGAGAAATGTTGTAGCTTATGTTAGTCTCCATAGTCCAGTAAGAGGCAACTCAAGTCTGTATTCTGTAGCTTCACCTTCTCTTCAGCAACTGGTATCAGAGGTAAGATGAATTATTATTATTATTATTATTATTATTATTGATTATTAATTATTATTATTATGTACAAAACTAATTTGCAACTCCCTTCCACCCTCTGTAATTTGGCATTTATTGATTTTTTTCAATTTCCTCTTTATTGTATATTAGAAGCCATCTAAAAATTACAGGGAAATTTATTACAGAATTTTCATCAATATCTATTCAACTAATCCCTCAAGTTCTGAAATTTGCTACAAAATGCTAGAAAAGTAGCAAGTGAAATGTAAGCTTATTTCTTAAAAAATAAATTTAGTTCTCATTTCTATCTTGAAAATCTTGATTTTGTGGTAAACTTAATTTTCAATTTTTTCCCTGTCCTTGATGCTTTGAGTAAACTTGAAACAAGTACTCCTATTAAATACATTGTACATATCTTAAAAGCAAATTCTGTGTCTAACTCCTAGAAAATCATAAGTGAAATTAAAATGTTTAGAAATTAAAATATTTATTGAAAATTTTTCTGAAGGTAAGCATGTATTTTACTACAAAGTAATTTGCAAAAAAAAAAAATGTAGTTTGTGAAAATGTCATAAGAATCCATTGTATTTTATTCAGCTGCTTTTCATCTATTCCAAAGAAATTTGCAGAACATTTTTCCTCTTAATTAGTAGAGTTCACACCTTCATTTTTGCATTATTTTTATAATGTTGTATTCAGAGAAAAAAAATATATGTGCTATTTCTCAGAATTAAAACAATCATGTCACCACTGGTAGAGATTTCTTCCTAGTTCTGATGGCTATTTGTGTATATATGAAGTGACCTTTTATGTGCCCAAAGAAAATCACAGAAACCAGACTAGCAAAATAAATAAATAAATAAAAGTCCTTTGGATAATTTGAAATATAATGTAAGTTAACATTATATTACTTTCATAAATTATTGTCTACTGAATACTTTTCACTGACATTTTCATATGTAGTATAGTGAAGAAGACATTAAGATTTGTATATTTAACAATCAGCCAAACTCCAATCTGTATGATTTAAATTATATTCAAATCTGTAAGTGGATTCTTCCAGTTCTGTGTAATGATTCAAAATCTCTGACCTTTACCTGTTTGGAGAAAAGTCAAAACGAATAATGAACAGCATATATCTCCCTTGGAAAGTTTCTTTTGAATAGGTAGGTGATAAGGAAAAGAAAGCATATACTCAAATACCCAGAAATTTAGTGTTAATTTAAAAATTATGTCATTTCCTTAAATGTTACAGTTTTGTTATTTGGGGTGACTTGATACTATATAATCAATGAAATTCACCATTAAATTCAAAATGTAGGATATATCAAATATATAGAAATTTCACAGAATTGCACATCTTATAATTACAATATAATTTACAATTTAAACTTAATTATCTGAAAGTATAGCAAAATTTCTCAATACAGAATAATAACATGGTGGGTGTACCTCTTTATTTTTGGAGAGGAAGCTTTTATTTTTCTGTAGTTCAAAATATGTACAAACTAAAAAATGAACTGAAATCTGTATTGAAAGAAAATGTCTTTCAGTTGAGATGGTGCAGTATGTTCCATATTCAAATAAGAAGGGTGACGTGGGTTTTCCCTGACAGACTGCTACTTATTCACTCACTGCTCCCCTCAGCAGTGTATTTCTGTATATCTGCCTGTTCTGCTCCCTACTCTTGTCTCTGGTGAATCCTCTCACCCCCCTAGGTCTTTCCTGTACCCAGTTCTATCTGCATAAAAATAAATTAATCTTATTTAAAAATATATTTTAACAGACTTTATTTATATTCATTCATTTGTTTAGGTTGTAAACAAATCATCTTTCATATAATACACAACAAACCAAACCAAAAAAAAATTTCAAAATGACTTCTGTATAGAACAATAATGTTTTATAAAGAAAACAGGCCAACTAAATTGTGACTGTGTAGAGGCTATGTGAAATATTACTCTCCTGTAACACTGTGCATATTCTAATGATCTTGCTAAGTTCATATGGTGGCTTTACATATGTAAGAGAGAATGCTTAACAAATTAAAAACTGAGCACACATAGGAGACATACATAAGATATTCTGTTGCATTATAAGCTTGACAAAAATGCATATATGATATGTTTGCATTAAATCAAATATCTGTTCAATTTAATTAATAAAGTAACACCCCAATGAAGGAAGATTAATGTCCCAGTGTACTGGGTTTATTGATAATTGCTATAGATATTCATTTTAGTTAAATTTGATTTATGGGATGGATGTAGATATTAATTACATATAGAAAACCATCCCTTCTTTTTCACATTGATGAATATTTACAAATGTATGCAAATGCAGATGACAACACAATGAAGATCTACACCCCAAATTGGACCATTATTAAATTGCATTAAATCTATTCTGGTTCCTGGCTAACACTGATAGGATTTTGTCCTCATAGTTTTGTCATTCAGAATTCCATAGAGAGTGAAATTGAATCACAATTGTATGCTTTTGTGTGTGGCTTCCTTCAGTTAGCATAACAATCATTAGAACTTACCGGTGCTGTTACATGTGTCAGTCATTCTGCCACAGTCATTAGATCACCAAGTAGAATCAAAACCCCAGTGGCACTGGAAGAAGAGAATGCCTTTCCCTCCAGTTTGATACCCTGCCTTTGATATTGAAATAAAGACAAACCATTGTCATTAAAAAGCAATTTCCCTGAGGAGTGTCCACCAAATTTGAAGTATACTGTCTTGAGTGAGAATGAAATCTCCTAATGATTCAGAATGTTCAATGAATTTGAATCCCTGACTAGTTATAGTATGTTTACTTAGGACCTACGAAATTGACTTTAAATTGTTCAAAGAATAAAAGAGGATCACTATGAGTGAGTTCATTGTACTGGTGCCCTTTCATTGTACTGTTGTTATTATTGCAGAATTTTCATAATAGTCTTTTTAAAAAAAATCTCAAAACATACTTTGTTTTTCTAAGTTATAACACATAACTAAAATATTAATTTATTTTCTGTATATAGCAATAATCTAGCAATTATTTTCCCACTGAATTGTAAATAAAGGCAAGAACACTTTTTTGCTACCAGTGTTATTACAACGATAAAAATGGTAGTTCATTTAAAAACTACCTTTTGTTTTAGGAATAAAAACTCATTTCAAAAACTATAAAATAAATATTAATGTTTGTATAAACAACTCTATATCTTTTAAATATCAATATATATTTTTAAGTTACAATTGACCTCTTTCTTCTCTTTGTGAAAATACCAACTTCCTGTGCTTTCATGTACTTCACAAACTATATACTTCATATTTAAAATTTATAGTAAACAATTTTAAATTCTTAAAACATTATTTTCATTAAAAAATCTCATCCATGTGGTGCCAAACAAATTCAGTTATTAATAATTCAGTTATTAATTTTCTAATTTTCATTTTATAAGCAGTAGATGATTGAATTTGCATGATTATGTCTAATTTTTGACCATTAGAAAGTTGTTATAATTTTATAACAATTATAATCATTTTTTAATGATTATAATTTTTCTGATTATGCTCTTGTGTGGTACAATGGTACTTTCATTTCTTGGGTATTTATCTAGGAGCAGAATTGCTGGGTTACACATTCGTGAAAGTAGATAATGCCAAAGACATATTTAAAGTATATGTGCAAGTTATAATATCACCAGTGATTGTGACTGTTCCAGTTGTTCCAGGAATTAGTCTCATGGGTGCTGGTGGTATCTTTTGGAATTCAGTTTGTCTGATGATTAATACTGTTGAACACTATCTCAGATGCTCTTATTGTCCATCCAGATATTTACCTATGAATTAGTTAAATACTTTGCCTTATTATAAAATAAGTTACTTTTCTCTTATCTATTTGCAAATATTCTTTACATATTCTGGATAAAATCCTTTCTTACTTATGTATTGTACATTTTCTATAAGTCAGTGAGTTGACTTTTCACTTTCTTACTGTTATTCTTGACTCACTCTCTTACTTTGTTGTTTCAGGACTGTATTATACAAAACATGGTGAATTTAGTTTAGTATTGATAGTCAAGAAGAATTATAAATTTGCATTATACATTCTTTCATTCACAAGAAAATGTGTATTACTATTTATTTGCTTTTCACTCTACTGAGAATTATAGAATGTTATATAGTAATATAAATGGAGTGCCTAATGATGTCCCTAAAAGAATAGGGAATGTAAGTTCTTTTATATTACACTTTTTTTTTTTTTACAAAATAACATTTTTAAAAAACAACTGTCATTGACTATTAAATACACAGAAAGACTGCCTAAGTTAGTAGTGTCAGTTGATAAAATACAACAGCTTGCATGCAAAATAAACTATGAGATTAAAATTAAGATTTATTTCCTTAAATATTTGTCCTGAACATTAAGATACAACAAAATAGATACCCCTTTTCTGCATGTGTGTGTGTGTTTATATTTGTTCCATTATTATTTGTTGAAAAAACCTTTCATAGATATTTTAATATTTCATATTGATTCAGCCTTTAAAAAACAGGATTTGATTCTTGTATATCATTCAGTGCTTGTAAGTCTCAAGTAATGACAGTTCTAAGAAGTTATTTATTTTTAAAGATTTATTTATGCATACAGAATTGGGGTACAGGCCAGAGGTGCTTGGGCTATGAGAGAATTCACCAGAGACAGAGTGGGGAAGAAAACAGGCAGATTGATGAAATACACTGCTGAGGGCAACAGGGATTGAGAAAGGAGAAGTCTGCTATGTCATGTGGGTACCTCTGAGGCTGGGGATCAAACTCGCACTGAAGCAGCCAGGGCCAGCTTCGCAGTCCTGCACTCCAGCCCACTGCACCACCAGAGAGAGCCAAAAATTTTTTTTTGAAGCTTGAACCATTCATACATATAAAACTGGTCAATCTGACTATATTCTGCTTAACTGGTGCTTTTTAAGCACCTGCCAGAAGCTGGCAAACCTCATCAAAACCAGCTAA